CAACTAGCAAAGGACCGGATACCAGGGCTTATCAAGATCCAAGCTTAGCTGAAAAAAAAAACCAAGCAATACATAATCCAAAAATGGAAAGAAAAAAACCTAAGATTGATAAATAGTACAAATTTTATTATTACAAAACGAAACATTTACCCACCTATAAGGATATATTAAATATATATATATATATAATCTGAACCTAAGGTGTCATAAAAAACCAAGATCTGGGGGGGGGGGGAGGGGGGGTGAAGGGCCCAAGTATTGGCCGCCCTGCTGGAAACTACACACAACTCATTGCCCCTGGCTGTTGTGTGGCTTTTCTAGGCAAATTTACATCCAGTAGTTTGCCATTACCATAATCCACCACTGACAGGATCAGGTGCTGATATAGTTTGAAAAGCATTCTCTGCTCTATGTCAATGGCAGCCATAGTCTTAAGTGCACTAAGTCCTTTTTGGCATCTCATCACAACACTCTCCACATGGTCCTTAAATGACAGGCTCCTGTCAAATGTAATTCCCAGATACTTCAGTTTGCTCTCTCTGTTGACGTCTCTACCATCTATCGTGAGACTTGGGACATTAGTTTTAACGATTATGTTGTCCAGAGAACACCACAAAACAGACGCCTTTTCCGGGTGGACGACAACCTTCATTTCTGTACATCACTCAGTCACTTTGTCTACTGTCGCTTGTAGCTCCCGAGCTGTTTGTTCCCTCTCTTCCCCCTGCCTATATGCAAGTATATCATCCGCAAAAGTCAGTATCCTTCCAACTCCTGGTGCTTCTAGGCTTGCAATCCTGCTCGTATACACGTTGAAGAGCACAGGCGAGATGGCGGATCCCTGGGGCCAAAGTGCATGGTTCAGAGGTCCATGAGCCCAGTCGGAGAGCAACCCGACGTGAATACAGGACAGCTGCAACCCAATTCACTAGCCATGGATTGACCTCCTTCCTTCTCCCTCAGTGCAGTCATTAAGATGTCGTATCTCACTCTGTTATAAGCATCCTCTAGACCTAATCCTACCGCCATAGTTTCCTGTCTGTTCCGGAACCCTTCATAGACGTCAAAAGCAAAAGTGGCCGCATTTGCCCAAGTGTCCTTTCCTGGCCTGTAACTTCCCAGACCTCTTAGGAGAAGCTTCCCCCTTTCCAAAAATTCTTGTAACTTTATAGCAACTATCTTCTCCAAGACCTTCCCAAATGTGTTTTGTAAGGTGATGATTCTAAAGCCACTAAGCTTAGAATGATCTTTAAAAGGTTTTGGTAGTGGTATTAGACAGCTGTGCACCCAGTCTTGCGGTACTGATGCTGTCTTAATACTCTGGTTAAAACAGTCGGCCATCTCTGCCAGGTCTACATCTGTCAAAGCCTTCATGTGACCATACCTGACACCATCATGCCCTGGTGCAGTGTCTTTTGCTTTTTTAAAAATTTGTTTGATATCTTCCACTTGTATCATGTCTTCATAATGCATATTCTTCAAGGTGCCAGCTAACTCCTTTCTAACTGCATCCCTGATGTCTACATCATTATAATCTGTCTGAGCTATAAACCTATGGAGAAAAGCCTCCCCTTTCTCCTTGTCTGTTGTCATACGCACACCATCGCCTCTACAAATTGTTCCGACTGTCATAGGCCGATCTTTTCTTTGCATCTGCCTTTGCAGTTTCCAGAATTTCCCCAATGTTTTATCGCCTCCCATGTCATTCACAAAAGTTTCCCACCTCGCTCTTTTGGCCTCTGCAGCACAGCGCTTGAAAACCTCCACCTTATCTTTTTTCACGTTCTCCGCCATCTCCACTTCCTCTCGTGAGCTTGAGGGTGTCTGTCGTACTTTCTTTAGCTGCTTCACTGCGGCTCTCTTTGCCTTCCATGCCTGTTCTACTTCTGGAGTCCACCATGGGGGCTGTAGAAAATTAGTTCTGGCAGTTTTTTTGCATGCTCCCTGTCTGAGGCGTCCAAGTAGGTTGTTGGTCAACGTATACTGGAAGGTCTTGCGTGCTCTCCCAACCTTAACCTTGCTGAGTTTAGAAATCAAGACTGAACATGGTAGGTGATCACTCCCATGGTCATTCAGGACAGTCTATTTAACATCTAAAACCGACGACTGAGAGACAAATGTCAAGTCAATGGCTGTGTCTGCATCTCCAGACCTCATTGCCATAGAGTCTGCCTGCCATAATTGAAGCAGACCATATCGGAGTCAACCATGACCTCTTCAAGAGCAATTCCCTGTCGGTTTTCTCCACTGCTGTCCCATTCTCTGTTCCTCGCGTTGAAATCCCTCATATGAGTAACCTATCACCTGGTAACTTCTCCAGTTCCTTGAGCCAGCTCCATTGTTCACTTCTGACAAAACAGTCTACCTTGGCATATATTTTTATGAGGTTCCAACTTAAGCCACCAATTTCCACCTGTATCCCTTGAACCTCTCGTTCCACTGGCTCAAGTCAAGCACCACATGCTTCACTCCCTTCTTTACCACTAGACCTTGTCCATGTCTCTCCTGCCCAACAGGGTTTATATAACTGACGTACCCCGGGCAATGATATCTGTCTGTAAGTTAGTACATTTTACCCCACCAGGACATCAAACAGAGCGATTAACACCCGGTGACACAAAGTGCTACCGTGCGGATGAGGATCACCCGTGGTGAGGTCACAGAAACCGCGTTCAGCCTTCAGGCTATATTGAGGCTCCCAGCATAGGCCGGGGTGGAGCTTCAAAATAACAAAAAATTGCGTCCCACATGGGAACGACCTTAGTTACCATAACAAAGTAAGGGCCACCTCCTACACACACACACACACACACACACACACACACACACACGTATATATATATATATATATATATATATATATGTACACACACACACACACACACATACTCAAACTACTGAAAAAATAATTAACATTTTTAGCATATCGCCAGCTCTCCCGCCTCGCGAACTTTTCGTGGCAGTTGGTCTCGGAGACAAGATCCAGTTGGCGTACAGATATGCCGCTGGTCTTCCAATCTGATAACTACAGAACACGCTTTATTCCAAACATATGGTGTTACCTTTGCCTTTTAAAACTCCTAAAGCAGGCTTGGATAGGGAAACTGCTTCAGTGCATAACATGGTATCTACAGTACTGCCCAGTCTTTGTGCTAGGGAGAGGTAGTTCTTGCTAATCACATTCGCCATGGGCTGCGATTCCCTTGCCTCAGTATAGCCAAGTTGCAACAACAAAAGCAGTACATTTAAAATGTGTGATGTTGAAGTTCTGAAACGTGAGTCCCTCTTGGAAATAGACATTCATTTCTGGAAAAAGTGTGTTGAACATGTGCTCCAAGAGAAAGACGAGTACTGGCACCGAGATAGACTGCAATTTGTTCAGCCAGTAACAATTATCAGCCTTTTGGGATCGTCAGATTCGGAATGTTTAAAATCATTTTTTCGATGAGTGGTTCAATATCATCAATCCGTTAGGTACATCTACTATTGCAACAAATACATCTCTGTGTCCGAATGTTTCAACCATAATACAATTTGCTGTGCAGTTAAGATACATCCTAGGATCTAAAAGTGACCGAAGGGGAATACTAACTGTTGCATATTGGGGACACGTTTACAACTGAACAAGGCAGACAGATTGGCTGGATCTGCATCACTGTGTGGTGAACTGGTACATGACAAAAAAAAAAAAAAAAAGATTACCATGGCGGGGAGAGAATGATACACCTGGGTGCGACTAGAGGGTCTAGCAACACACTACACTCAAAGGAAAGGCAAGTTTTATATATAATCAAATTGCGTCCGGTACCAGAAGTATTAGAATTGCGCTGGCTGCTGAAAATGGGGACAGAACACATATGAGAATGCTCTGAGTGCTGTGATACCTTTCTTGACTCAGCTCAACTCAACTTCTTCGCACTCAGGCTTGAGTTAGAAGTAGAACGGAGCACTTGTACCATGTTGTTGATTTGTTGTTTAAACTTAAAACTTTGAACATAAAGGACCGAGGCAGACCGAGGGGATTGGATCACAAATGGACATGTTTTATATCTTGTACGAGAATGTTTGAAAGTACCAAAAGGAATCGTTGTCTGATTCGGAGGCAGTCTGCTTCCGACAAGTATGTTCTTCAGATTACGGTCTCGTCTGTAGACCACTCTAGGGTTGTCACTAAAGATCTTGCGGGTGTCAGGATCAGAACGAGGATTATCAATGTGACGATGGAAGATTTTAGACACAGCCAAATTAATAGGGTGATATGTTAAGATCAGTTTAGATCTGTCGGAAGCAGGTTTAGGTTTAGTTAGCAAGGCCTCTCTCTGAGCGATGGATTGTACGTCTTTAGGAGCCTCTATGAGAGTGTGTTCTGGGTAGAGAGGGGCACGGAAAAATCTGGTAACTCACGTGTCTTACTCAAGAAATCGGAATCATTAAAACACAACCTACGTAAAGCAGCAGAGACAATGGCATATAATTTTTGCAAGAGAATGGGTGAGAGGTTGTTTAGAGAAGACAGATATGAGAATCTGTAGGTTTATAATAGGCCGATGCTAAACTTGTCCAAGAAATTCACGAAAGTGGTGGAAATCAGGGAGATGAATGAATTGAATAGCTCAATTAAAGGCGCTGATATAATTAATGAATTGGTGGAGTTCATTTTTTTAGCCATCATTTATGTACCTCTTGTACACTTCAGGGAGTTTTCCTGGGTGTGCAGACCAAACCTGATATTCCAGAAAACCCATAAACAGGCATGTATATCTGGGATCCTTTGTAGTACCCATCGCGACAACACTCATTTTGTCAAATATTTGAATTGTAAGTTTGGTTCGTTTAATTTGTATGCTTAATTTTGTAAAAAGCAAAAAGTTTGGATAACTCTAATTCGAATCACATCATTGTCGGCTTCTTGAGAAAACAGGTGTAAATTACAATTTGTCAGATTAGAAGAATCCAAACACAGGAATTACACGTGGATCAGCCACGCCAGAAGCAAAGATATGACATCAGCGGAAGGAGACAACATTATTGAACTTTTTGATAACTGGTTCAAGGTTTGAATTGTAAAATGTTTCATAATTTCATATTCATAGCAGTAGCAGATATTTTCGCAACAATGAAAATTAAAATTCTACGAGAGACTTATGAGTCCTTAAAAGTGCGCCACAAATTACAGTGACCATGTCATCATTTTCTAACACGTAGTAATATTCGTATGGTCACCAGAGGGTAAAAGAAAACAGGGAAGACCAAAATAAACTCTCCGTAGAACCATCACAAGGGAGAGCTCAACCATAGGTCTCAGTCGCACTCAAGACCTACATCAAGTGGCAAAGAACCGACAGACGTGGAAAGCTATGACCTCTGCCCTATGCGCCATCTTTGGCACAAGAGGAATAACTAACTAACTAAGTAATATTCTTGTTATGTTAAGGATGTCAAGAGCGTTAAGCAGGTAAAATCATACGCAAACGGATACACGATGACGTCATAATGGCCACCCCAGTTTTGACGTACCAAAGAGGAGCAGCATCCTGTTATCCGTTGTTTTGAAGCCACACCATTTTGAAACTTCCTACTCAGTCATACACTTATTGAGCCACAACAGACACGGGAGCCATGGTAGTGTAGAGGCTATATGTCCCCCCACCAGCCTGTAGATCTTAGGTTCGAATCCTTTATAGTTGGACTAAAAAAAATTAGACTGTGTTATGGGACAGTGCAACCAAAAATGGGTGCCAGGTGAAGTCCTGCAAAGTAAAGGCAACTAGTGGGATATTTATAGCATCATCCATTCAATGCTAATTGATGTGTGATGAGTTTGACATCAAATGCCCGATGCGTCACTGACATGGAAAAAAGGTACTTTATTTTTTTTTTTAACTTTCCCATTTTTGCTACATACAAGGTAAACAAAGAATAGTAAGACTGTCATCCAGAAACGTCTAAACAGCATTTTGGGCCCATTGGGAAAACCAGTGTGCACCTACGACAACCATTCACATGAATGATTTGTTTTTTAGTGACAAGTCACTATACACAGATTGTGGAACCTCCAGGCAATGTCCCAGCGGGTCTGTGTGTTATCACTGCACTGGGTACAACTGCTATGCATGTCATAAAGTGACAAAAGAGGGTAAGCCTGAGACTAGCCACAACATTGCTCAGAAAACATTAGCTACAAAAGGCTACCAAAGCTTGAACAAGTCTACATAGGAAGGCTTGTGCTCTGTTGCAAAATAAGAGGCAGAAAAAGAAAAATAGAGGCTACGCAGGTAATGATGAATTTCTTGACACAGTCATGAAAATTAAACAAGTCTTAATGTAGATATTGTTCAGTGACTTTGACACTTAGGGGAGGGGCGAGACGGATATACAATCAGACTGTTACTGGTACCATCAAAATGTTAACTCTTCACTTGCTGCTGAAGATAGGGACGGAGCGCTTATGAGAGTGTTCCGAGTGTTGTGATGTTGATTCATAATTCAACATACAACATTCAACAACAGTGACTAATCTTACTAGAATAGAGTAAATTAAATATCAGTATTAAAAACTGTTGAGTATTTATGTTTAGCGAATTCAGTAACTGCTTTTTATTAAATATAATTATTTTATTTGTTTGTTTTTTGACTGAAAAAAATATGTGTGTTGGGGACCAGAGAATTTATAACCATAGTATCAAACTACCAATGTACCATGACAGCGTGGATCCAGAATCTGTTGCTATTGTTTTTTTTTTTTCCAACTGTGCTGACATTTCTGTTCCTAACAGCATTACACAGAAGTAACAAATCATTTAGCAGAAATGGAAGAAAACTTCAAAAGAGCCTCAGTACACATAGAAACTCTGACAAAAACCAATGCTAGACTTCAATCAGGTATGCCCATAATTAATAAGCTGCTTGCAGACTGAAAAAAAATCATCATTCCTCCTCGTATCTTGCAGCCTTGAACAGGCTGAAAAAAATCATCATTCCTCCTCGTATCTTGCAGCCTTGAACAGGCTGGGAAAAAAACCATGCACACTGTACTTTTTAAAAAAAAATTTAACTCTTTCGGTCCTAAGGATACACAACTTACATTCATAGATTCTTACCAAGAAGCCCAAGGAATGCAAGATGCGTCAATTTACATTTCTTTATGCTATCTCTTGGGCTTCTAGTGCTAAATGCTAAAGCTCAGGGACTGAAAGAGTTGAAAATGTCGCTGCAAGTATACAGATAAAACAAGATACTAACTTGTGTGATGTTTTATTCTGGAGTGGCTTGTTTTGTACTGAATTATTTTTATTAGTTTAATCTTTCTGTCCTGAGCTATATACTGATATATTTTCATTGTCATGATAAAAACTGTCAAGAATAGTAGTGTCTTGCTTTTCTCCTCCTCCTCCTTCTCTTATTTCAAAAATATTTCCAAGTTTTTCTGTTGGGGGACAAAATTAAACATCCTAACCTGCACAGTCCATGGCAACAGCACTAGCCATGCAGCACTAAATCCTCAGGTTCATGATCCCCTCCCTGTGTGCACCGCCCTAAAAGGCGGTAAAACAGACAGTAGTGAGAGTTACAATGTATCCCAGTTTTTTTTTTCTTACTGTGTTGAAAAATGCAGACTGCCTGTTTCTGATGTGTTGCTTCTGAGTACTAGCCTTTTTCTTATTTTACTCCTTCTTCTTCTGCTTGTACCTTCAAAAGAGATGTTGGCATTTGTGTTGGCGTTTACAACTAGGCTGTGATATTTGCACCTATCGGCTCAGCATAGTCAATTTTAGTAAAACCTTATTAGTCATCTTTTGCAACACACTTGTTATTGGGCAGTTGGTCTGTTACACTCCTCCTCCCCCCCCCCCAATCCCAATGGAACGGTTTGATTACTTTCACAAAAGAGCCATTTTCCACCGAAAAAAAGGAGGGGGGGGGGGGGGAACAAATCATCAAGCATATCCCAGTTCTTTAACTCTTTCTATCTCACCCAACACATTGTGTGTGTTTAACTATTTCCCTGAAGTCTCTATTGATGCTTGGTGTGTTATCGTTTTGTTTAATACATATATATATATATATATATATATATATATATATATATATATATATATATATATATATATATATATATTACTGAGCATATTACAAAAACCTGACCAGATATCATAACATGTAGCACTGTAATTGATGCCTCTTTGGATGTTACAGACCCATACTTTTTAATTGTTATTTGTGGGTACTATTAGGCATTTCTGACAAAATCTTCTAGTACTGAAAGAGTTTAGCCATACATAAGTGGATAGCTCAACTTGTCAGGTTTCTAACAAAATCAGCAAAAATAACAACACCAATCCTATAGTCTTAATGTACTAAGTTGTACACACTTCAGGTAAAGTAATGGATCCTTTTCTCATCATTCACACATTAAATATAAGGTTCTAGAGCAATATTTGTAAAGACTTCTGGGCATTTTGGGGGTGATGGGGGCTACACTGCCATTTCACCAGCTGCCTTTACTTCCCAGGACATTTCCCGGTACCCATTTTATGCAGGATCACCATTTGGGTACCTACAATTAACAACACACATCAACCTCAGTGCCAAGCCATGAACCAAACAACCACCCTGACTGTATTGAACAAAAGGTTGGTATGTATTTCACTTCTTCTACTGTACTTGTACTCTTTTTCTCCCATTGGAGCATAGGCCTTTAAATAACTCAAACTGTTTTATCCTTGTCAACTCCTGCAAATTTCCCCTCCCTCCCCTTTTTCATGTTATTTATCTCTATCTCCAATTCTCACCTCCACGTGTGTGTTTTTTTTTCCTCTGTGAATTCCAGCTACACTACTACTGTATCAGGTTTTCTCAGTAAAGCTTGTGTCCACTACCAGCACATTTTCCTCATTTCTTGATTACCTTTAATTTGCTTAGCATTTTTTCTAAACTTATTCTGCGCAGTGGCTAACTTATGAAAGTTTATAGTTTTCCTTGTCAAACCCCAAAAGTAGACATTGTTTTTTTCTTTAAGCATTCCAGAAGCAAGCAAAAACCAATCGCTGTGTGGGAAACCTACGCTGTTTCTTTATTGGCAATAGTCTTGAAGCACAATGGGAGCAAAGGTGTTGGAGGTGCAGCTAGTGTTGGCCTGGGCAAGAGCGTCCAGAAAACAAAGTGGCAGAAATTGTTGATGAATGAGGGCGGTCTTCTGGTGGTCAAAGATCTCATGTTGTGTTCCCTCCACTATGGAGCTCTTTCTAAATTTTGATGGAATGTAATGAAATTAGGAGCAGTTTGTATTCCGCTTATGTAAAGTCTGACTGATTTGGTTGTTTTGTTGTGCAAGATTGCAGCATATTGCAAGAAACAGTTGGCAGCTACCAGCAGCAGCTTCACACTGTTTGTGATCTTGAAGGTATGGTTACAATTAGTGTATTGAATATCTGCATCTTGAATATCGAATATCTGCATCTTGAGAATCGAATATCTGCATCTTGAATATCGAATATCTGCATCTTGAGTGTCAAATATCTGCATCTTGAATATCGAATATTTGCATCTTGAGTATCAAATATCTGCATCTTGAATATCGAATATCTGCATCTTGAATATCGAATATCTGCATCTTGAGTATCGAATATCGCATCTTGAATATCGAATATCTGCATCTCAAATATCGAATATCTGCATCTTGAGTATCGAATATCGCATCTTGAATATCAAATATCTGCATCTTGAATATCGAATATCTGCATCTTGAATATCGAATATCTGCATCTTGAATATCGAATATCTGCATCTTGAATATTATGCTGATGACATATTTAATGTTAATCATTTATTTTTAGACTAATTTTTATTTGATCTGTTTTTCCCCACTAGTAGTTTTGTTGAACAAAAAGAAAATTTTTTTGTGAGAATTGGTCAAGTAAGTTTCTTCTTCTTCTTTTTCTTCTTCCTTGCTCATCGGCAGTAAGCTCCAGCAGAAAGTCCTAGTTGTTGGTCTATTTTGACTTTGGCTTTTTGCCAGAGCCTGAGTTTTGCGTGTACATCCGTTTTACTGGCTTATTTGTGTGCAGTTGGTTGTTCCTAGCCGCTCGGGCAAATGCACTCAGACTTCAAAGAAATCCCCAGTTAGTCGACTCCTACAATGTGCTTGTTTGGGTGCCACATTGGGGCCCCACAACCCACAAGTGGAAATTATGCTTTTTTAAATGTTAAATTATAAACTTTTACTTGTATACATGTACCAGACTTCTTCTTCTTCTGATCCTTCTTTTTCTTCTTAGTATTCACTAGCTGTAAACTCATGCAGATAATTCTGGTTGTTCATCCACTTCTGGACTTTGGTCTTGTTCCCAACTAAAGCTTTGCTTGCACATCCATTTTACAGATTCTGGCTTGTTTGTATGCAGACTGTTGGTTCCTCACCTCTTGGGTAGATGCACTCCCATTTTGAGGGAAACACCCCTAGTTGGTCACCTTTCACAACATCTATGTGGGTGAGTGGGGTCTATTCTTTTGTCCAAAAATTGTCTGAGTAAGAAAGGCAGTGAAAAAGGAACCTGGTCACCACAATGCATATGTTGAAGTTTAGAATATGTGTTGAGTGTTGAATTAAGAATAAACATCATAGCACCCAGGACACCCCCAAAAGTACTCCGTCCCCATCTTCAGCAGCAAACAAAGAGTTCAAATTATGATGGCACTGGTAACTGTCTGATTGTATATCCTTCTTGCACTTCCCTTGAGTGTTAAGCGTCGGCCAGATACCCTGGTAACTCCTCACAGCGATATTCTCCTCAGACCGTAATGATCTATTTACGCTTCCTCACTGTTCACTCGCTCCCAGAGGACCTTCACAACATCCAGCTTGTCATACATCAATTCACCACCAAGTGGTGCAGAACCGGCCAGTCAATCTGCCTGCTCATTTTCCAACACACTGGCATGACCCGGAGAGACTATCCAAAGGATACTAATGACCCGTGACCTCCAAAGTGATGCTTGCACTTTTGCACAGAGCATACCTGTTTAGAATACGTGAAGATCTAACAACACTTCATAACCCACAAAAGTATCTGGAATATGACTATTTTAATCTTCAATTCTGTGATTGGTTACTCATACTGTCATTGGATTATTTTTTCATGTGTGATTGTAGATGATACAGCATATATATATGCAGTCTTCCTTTATTTCGAATAGATGAAGTTCAAAATTTGAAACAAAAGATTGCAGAAAAAGAACAGGTATATATATTTTTTATTGCATATTATTCCTTATTTAATTCATTTGTCAATTTGTAGTGATCCATTTTCTCCTTGATAAGAAAATTAGGAGTGATTCCTTATCATAAATTATGTGCGACAGTTTGAACAGTTTATTGACCTGTGATTTATACCTCAACAATCTTATTTTTTAATACATGTATCACTCACTGTACTCTGTCCTTATCTCAAACAGTTTTATTGACCTGTGATTTATACGTCAACTAACTTATTTTTTAATGCATGTATCACTTACTATATTCTGTCCTTATCTCAAACAGTTTATTGACCTGTGATTTATACTTTTTATGTAATTGTCATCATTCAGTATGAAAATTATGATACATATTTGTGCTAAGGATTTACTTAATAAAGCTACTGAGAGCACAGCAACCATAGACAGAATTAAACAGGCCCATGAATATGAAATGGAGTCATCACTTGCCAGTGTGAAAGCAGAATGTAAGTATTTTTACAGTCATATTATTATTCTGCCTTTTGGCTCCCAGTTAAGCATTCAACAAATTTATGCCTTTATGTCCGCTGTTTTACAACATTAAAAATATTTTTCAAATATATATTTGTAGTCTAATTTGCATCAGTTTAATGTTTTTACATATTTCGATGTCAGTTTCCTTTTGCTGCAGACTTGTACTGTGATATTTGTACAAAGAACTATGTGATATTCAGTGGTTGTTACATAAACTTAAATGAGACCTTCTACAGCAGAACATCTGGAAGGAAGGCAAGAAGAAGACCAAGAAAGAGATGGATGGACACTGAAGCTGGCGATGAACTTTTTTCTTAGTGTTAACCAGCTGTAAACTCCATCATAAAGTTTCGGTTGTTTGTCCACTTTCTGGACTATGGTATTTTTCTAGAACTTGAGTTTTGCGAGCTCATGCATTTTACAGTCTTGGCTTATTTGTATGCAGACTGTTGGTTCCTTCCCTCTCACACAGATGCACTGTGACATTGAAGGCAATTCCCCTAATTAGTTGCCTTGTGCAACATGCTTGTTAGGGAGGCAGTGGTTTATTACGTCCCCCAATCCCAAAATGGGGCTCTTGGATCCCATATGGGGAAAAGGAGATGGACAAATAGATGAACAAATCCATTGCTCACAGTCACCTGAGAAGTACAAGAAAAAATAATTAAACCACAACACTAGGCTACAATCCGATAATAGTGTGAGGACCATAAACTTTTGTATATTATTTGAAATAAATAACTGCAATTACACGTAAAAATATATTGAAATTTCACATTTAGTGCCCAGTTTACCAAATAAATCATTGGTGCCTGTCTCTAGTGCTGCAAACATTTACTGCAAAGCTGTATGTGCTGAAAAGCTGCTGACTGAGCAGTTCAATATGATGGACTGTCATTCAAGAGACCCAGGTTTGAATCTTCAGTAAACTGATGGATTTTTCTGTCAGGGCAGAAATAAAATCCTAACCGCAAAATCCGTGGCAACTACACTAGCCATGCGGCCCTGAATTCTCAGGAGTTATCCTATACTGTCCCAAAAAAACGAACAAATCTTAAATATAGGTAAGAAAGACAGTTTTCTTAAATGTGTGCTGGCTAGGCACATGTTGAGCTGTTATATGTGATTCTCCTTCTTCTTCTTCTTCTACTTCTTCTTCCTCTTCTTTTTCTTCTTCTTCTCCTCCTCCTCCTCCTCCTCTTCCTCCGCCTCCTTCTTCTTCTTCTTCTTCTTCTTCTTCTTCACATTCATCAAATGTAAGCTCCAATGGAAAATTCTGGTTTTGATCTACTTCTTGACTTTGTTCTTGTTCAAGAACCTAATTTTTGTATGCAGATCCGTTTTACCGATTGGGATTATTTGTATGCAGACTGTTTGTAAGATGCACTCTGACTTCTAAGAAAACACCCCTAATTAATTGACTTTTATGACATGCTTATTGGGGCAGTGGGTCTGTTTTTGTTTTTTCCCTTGCAATGGGGTCCTAGAACCCACATAGGAAGTATACAGTTCTTACTCACGCCGGCCACCTTTACCTCCCAGGACTGTACTTGGTATCCACCCAAGGCTGAGTGGACCTGGGAGCCAAGGTCATTTTAAAAAATAAAGTCCGGCTCTGTCAGGACCCAAACACACGACCTTCACATCCACAGTAAGTGTCTAGCCACTACACCATGGCAGTCACTACTTGTTTTTATATGGTGGGATTTCAGGATCATTGTTGCTGCGTTATGAGTTGTATTATCTTCACAGCACTCAGGACACATCCATAGATGCTCGGATTCCTCCTTCAACATATTCATCAGTTATACGTGGTGCCAATCCTGCGCTGGTTGACAGGATTTCTTGTGCGTCCGGTGTGCTTCCCATGCTTGACTAGGCCGATCTTTACTCCCAATTCTCATATTCTTAGCAGTGATGTGGACACATTGCTTCCAAAATCCTCGCAAACGTTCTATCTCTCTGAGGGCATTGACAATGTCTGCGTGATCCATGGGCCGGCCATCTGCAGTTAATGCAGAACCTGCACCGTTGATGCTATTGAATGTATTTAATATATTCTCAGACGCTCAGGTCTTAACCTGCCTGTAGGCCTTTCTTCCTTTGTTCCTATGATATTTTACAACACTTCTTCATGTACAGATGATACAAAGATCACAGATTTGGAAAGTCAGTTGAAAATGGAAACCGAAGTTGAACGTTCACTTCAATCACAACTGGAAGATTTGAAAAGAGATAAGGACAAAGAAATATCCAGAATTACAATGGAGGTAATTATCTACATCAGTGGCTCTCGGTTAGGTTAAGACCCATGGACCTTTCTTATGTTCAGAGATATGGAAAACCCCATCATTTTTAAGTCATATTTAAAAAAAAAAAATAGAGTTAGCTGCGTATCCTTTACAGGACATTGCAGAAGTAACCCTAGTATTTGTTGGCTGTTGTTGTGGTTTTTCTAGGCAAATTTCACATTCAGTAGTTTAGCACTGTTTTCTGAACCATCAGCTCCTGGTACCACTGTCACAACAAACCATCCACAGCTGGAATCAAACCCGTCATTATGAAGCGCTTTCACAATAGCTATGCCACAGATGCTGACAGGTTATGCAAAGATCACAGATGTGGAAAGTCTGTTGAAAATGGAAACCTATGTTGCACGTTCACTTCAGTCACAACTGGAAGATTTGAAAAGAGATAAGGACAAACAAATATGAAGAATTACAGTAGGGGTAATTATCCAGATCAGTGGCTCTCTGTTTAGTTAACTAAGACCCGTGGACCTTTCTTATTTTTAGAGGTATGGAATACCTCATAATTTTTTGATAGTCATGTATAAAAAAAAAAAAACCTTGGTGTCACCAACTGGAAAGAGAAGGCCAACCAGAGAGAGGAATGGAGGTGGGTTGCCTGAAAGAAACTCGGTCTCTCGCCAGCTCTCCCTCCTCATACACTTTTTTTCCTAATGTGTCATTTATATCCTGTGCCATCTTCGTGCTGGTCAGCCCCTGGCCCTCTTTGCTGCTCCAAAGACTTCCGCTATTATTTCTTTTTCACATCTGCTTGGCGCTTAATGCCGTCATAATATTTCAGTTTCTGAGACAAGATGCTGTTTACTTGCCAATTTTCCTTGATGTTCATATCGTTTAGGATGTCAGTATTTCTTTTCTTCTTCATGCAAGTGTTTCTGAGAATCCTTTCTCTAGCATTTCGGTTCAAAAGCTCTTTTTTTTTTTTCATTCTAAATGACTGCGAGGTGATCTTTGACTCATATCCACATGTTGCTACAAGAAAGATGCATATTCTAATGTAAATTTTGACCAATTTACATTAGAATTGCAAAAAAGATTGAATTCTAAAGTCAAAGGTTTGTCCAGGTGTCAGACTAACAAATGTGAAAGACTAGTATAGATTTTAATTAGAAACTCATAGGTAAGATACCTATTTATTCCTATGTGTGATGTATGTTTTCCATACAGCAGGATAGCTGTTGTAGAAACTGAGCAAGTTATCAACACCTATGTTATGAATCATCAGTTAAAAGTTTCTCTCTCTCTGTCTCTCTCTCACACATCTTTCTCTCTCTCTCTCTCTCTCTCTCTCTCTCTCTCTCTCTCTCTCTCTCTCTCTCTCTCTCTCTCTCTCTCTCTCTCTCTCTCTCTCTCTCTCTCTCTCTCTCTCTCTCTCCCTCTCTCTCACATACACACAAACACACAGAAAAGATGGCAGTATATTTGACATATCATGGGGAGAATGACAGAGAGTCACTGAAGAGCTACTGAAATAGGAAACGGATTGAGGAAACAAGGACGTTCAAGAGAAATCCCAGTATGAAGGCTGTTGAGAGAGGCCAAAGATGCTGGGCTGGATTCTTTCCATGATATCCAAAGGATTGCACAGACTAGAAGGAGATGGAAGAATATACTGTGAGCCCTTTTTGATATATTATGGCACAACAGGATAATAATGATCATGTATGTTTTATACTGAATTAGAACCAAGTATATGTTGAGACAAACTAGAAATAGTGATAAGAACAACCATAGGGTTTCGACAACTTTGTTAGTAAATTAAAAAAATTATCATAATTTATTACATTCATGTGGTATTTTTGACAATGTAAAAAGCTGTAAGAATTTAATATAATTTTTCTAAACAGTATGAGAGCAAGTTAGTCAAGGCTCACAGACAAAAGGCACAGTACATTCAACAACAGCAACAGATTCTTAATCAAGATGTCATGAGAAAGGTATCTCCACCTGAAATATGCTTCTTATTTAATCACCAAAGATTTGTCATTTCTTACACTGTATCTGTGTCTCCCAGTAGTTATATAACATTGTTTTAATGCATATAAAACAGTATATTAGGTGATATAAATGAATCAACACACAGGAGGTGTTAATTATAATTATATACCAAAATATATATAAATAATCTCCCCCTCCCCCCCCCACCCCCCACTAATACACTAGGCATTGCAGACTCAGCGGACACTCATTTAAATTGGTTGTAGGTCAGATAGCTGTCTGTCAGTGTCTTTGGTTTCAACAGACCCCACAACATATCCTACAAGACTGCACTCACCTGGAGAAGCTGTGAAGCAGTGTGTGGCCGCACATAGTACTCCTGACAACTAAGTTTTGGGAAAACCAAACAGACCTTGAGCTGACCCACAATGGATTAAGGACATGAACCGAGATTACTGAAGAAGAAGAAAGTGATGAATAAGAAGTATGAGTTGTGTAAACAAGGCCAAAACATTCTTAGTAAAGAGTTTGTGAGTGAAGTAACAAACTCTGCATAAAGGCTGCATACCGAGATCAGACAAGTGAAAAACCTTGTACGGAGAAAAATAACAGCTTGTGAAAACATGTAAATTCCACTACATGGCATTGGGCCAAAGGGCGAAAGCTCATGCGCCTCTGGATCAATAACAACAACAACAAAGGCTGCATACAGTCAAGGGTACTAGCTATTCAGTATAAAGTAAACAGAAATCATGGACCCTGTTTAACAGGTGTGGCGTATCGGCTGTATAATGCCAGATTCATATTTGATATGGATGATGTGGTCAGTGTCATGTTAGCTACTTTTACTTCCCAGGACAGTTACCTGGGTTCTTGTCAAAAGTAAATGGATGTCGCTTAATGCAACAAAGCCTGGCATATGACAGCACAACATCTAGTTTTCAAATAAAGGTGGAGGCAGTCACTGCAGCCTTTTGCTGGTTTGAGAATCAGCTGTACGCACATGTCATAATTGTAACCAACTCACAGAGCATGTTAAGGAAGGTGGAGACCAGTATTCTCCATGAAAAGTGGCAAGCATCCTTTGAATATTTTCTCCAGGATACGCTAGTGTATCAGAAAGTTAACAGGCAAAAAGACTAACTGGTTCTGCACAGTTTGATGGTGAAAGAATTGATGCATGAGAAGCAAGATGTATGGGTCCTTTGGGGGTGAGTGAACAGTGCGGAAGCATAGATGGATCATTATGGTCTCAAGAGAATGGCAAGGAGTGAGATCAGGGGATCTGGTCGGCGATCAGCATTCAAGAGATAAAGTAAGACGGATATACAATCAGACTGCTATTGGTACCACTGGAACTGAAACTCTGTGCTTACTGCCAAAGATGGTGACGGAGCACTTACGGAAAGGTCCTGAGTGCTGTGATGTTGATTCTTAATTAAACACTTAATTTAGACTTATGTTAGACTGGGTCAACCTTTGAGCCAAGGTAGGTTTAAAAACAAATTTAGACTTGATACAAATTCAAATCAAGACTTTCATTCCGGCAAGTGAGTCACTACACCACTAGCGCTTCCACTGTCTGTGATTATGGCAAGTGACTTTAACTCTGGTGCATTCAAAGTTAAGGAGCGGCTGGTTAAATGGTTAGAATACTGTTCTGTCATGAGGGAGACCTGGGTTCAAATCCTCGGTAATGCTAGGAATTTTTGTCTGTCGGGGACAACAATAAAATCTTCGCCTGCACAGTCCGTGGCGACAGCACTAGCCATGTGGCTCTAAATTCTCAGCCTGAAAGACACCCCTGCCTACATTGCAAGTAATTGGCAGCTGGCATTCAAAGTTTGCACAGCTCAGTAAGTCTAATCACAGCAGAATTCCATTCACCTTTGATTAGTTAGACTAGATAAATGTCTCTAGGGTATCTCATATGGAGTGGGAAAGAGGCCTTGGTATTATTCATTAGGACTTCCTGCATTGATATTTTTTACGAACTAAAAAATCCAACACTGCCAAAAATGTCTGTATTTACCACTTCTGTGGTGCAGGCAGTGTGATCTTTGAGCCTGAGGATTTAGGGCCATGTGGCTAGTGCTGTCGCTGCAGACTTTGCAGGTGAGGATTTTATTTTAGCCCTGGACAGAAAATAAAAAAATCCTCGCTCTTACTGTGGATTTGAAGCTGATTCTTGTCTATAAGAGCCCTGAATCCTTAACCGTTCAGCTAGCCACTTTTCGACCCAACACTATATATGCAATATTCATAAATGGTTTATATACAAATTTTTTGCTAATTTTAATAATTTATTTACTATTACCATATATTGTCCAATAAGACAATATTTTCTCTTACATTTTTTTTTTAAAGAAAATGCAACACATGAAAGAAAACTATGAAGGAGAAATAGCTGCTCTGAAATCTCAGATTCAGGATTTGAAACACATGTTAGAATCAGTGCATCAAAGAAGACCAGGAAAAGATAATGAGGATAATGCCTTCGGTGAACAGCCACAACCAAAGCTGCAGCCCCAGAAACTCTACCTACAGGACAGGCAGTCACCTCGACAAAGAGGGCAGTTGAGTCTTCGTGCACAGAGAAATGTTTCCAAGTATCGTTCGGGCTCCAGTATCAAATTGTAAAGCCCATGAGCCTAAAATGAATACCAGAAAGTGTCATGGGAAATGAAAGTAGCCAGTGTGAGGTTGACACCACGCAGCAAGTGCTGATCGGTCAAAAAACATATGAGGTCGTGCATCATATGCCATTCCATTGCTGTAAAATAGGGTTTTTAATAAAGGTCATGAGTTAAGTAATGTTACTTCTTCTTTAAAAGATTTTAGCATTCTTTTTGTTGTCATTTTCTTCAAACATTTACTTAAATGTTACACCTGTTTTCTGTAGTTTTCTGAAACGTAGCAACTGGAATATGTTCTGAGAAATGCCTTGTTAGGTATGAGATGTTTTGTAAAAATAAAAGGCTGGACATATACATGGTAAAGCTTAGTAAACCCCCCCCCCCCCCCCCCCTCTCTCTTCTGCCTATATTCCCAAATGAAGTGTAAGTCATCAGTTAATTAACACTTGGTTGCCTTACATTTCATTATCCTCTGCAGTTCCTATGTCCTCCCACTATAATGACTTATAACATCTAGGGGTCATTGCTTAAGATTTTTTAAGGTAAAATGACGTCCACACAGTAATCAAGACCTCAGTGCTTCTTCACAAATATAATAAAGTCTCACTTCATCTTGATTAGTCAAGTCATTTCATTTTTATGTTTAAATTTTCTTATTTTTGTGTGGTCCAGACTTGTTTGTAGTTTGTAGAATTTTGTGCAACTAAAGTTTTCCTAGGGTTTCTTGTGGTAGCCAAAGTTAAAGTCAAGAGGATCGACTTCATTGCACCGGGTTTTATCCCACATGCCTCAGTCTTTCTCCGCAGAATGGCTAGCCGTTTGCCGAGAGCACCGCACAGAGCACGAACTCTGTAGCTCCGGCGACAGTCCCTGGGGATCTCCATAACAATTGCACTCTTGAACTGAAGGGCGCAGCCATGAAATGAACCCATGACCTCCAGAACGCCAGGCAATCAGCTTGACCACTTCGCCATGGAGACCCCCTTATGGTAGCCAATCCCTTCCCAACCCTTCTTCAGCATTTGCCCTAAAAAGGATGGTTGGCACGTTATGATATCTGCATCTTTTTGCTGAACACATAGAGTTTCAGGATACTCTTAAATTAGTTACCTTTTATGACATGCTTCTTAGGTCTTTCCAGAACCTTTGTATTTCATGCTAAATCACATAAATACATTGTAGCAAATACTCAACAGTTATGTCCGGATTACAGATGTCTTATTCCCTGTGTGGGGTTGTGTGGGAACTGAGAATAGACAAACTGCCCCTTAACAAGCATATCATAAAAGTAATCTAATTAGAGAGTTTTGTCCGTCGCTTCGCTTGAAACCCCCAAAAAATCATTACATTTAACCAGCATCCCTGAAGGGGATGCTTTAAGTTATAATTGTGACTAGATTATGTGTGCCATATAAAATGGTTTAGCATTGCATGCCACCAAAAGCCCTAAAAAGTACTCCTGCAGTATTGATGTGATCAAAGAAGATAGACCCAAATACTGTCCCGGCCGGCAAGGAAGTCAGTGGGGGACCAGGTCACTGATGTGAATTAGAGAGTTTCTTCCAATGTCGGAGTGCATCTGTCTGCGAGTTGAGAAAACAGCAGTCTACATATAGGCAAGCCAGATCTGTCAAACGAATATGCACTCAAAGCTAAAGTTCCTAAACACGACCAAAATCCAGAACTGGGTGAACAGCCTGCATTTTTCTGCATGAGTTGCACTGGTGAACACGAAGAAGTTTTATGATGAAGATCATGCCAGATATAATAATTACTTTCTCGTTCTTCATTCAGTCTTATTAAGGCGGCCTACATGTTGTTTTGTGGTTTACAGTTAGGTTGCAATATCTGTGCCTCTTGGCATAAAACATCTAATTACAGCAGAACATTAATTTGGTCGCCCTTTAGGACATGCTTATTTAAGGGGCGTAAGTCTTTTCTTTTCACCTAATACTCATCCCCACTCTGGCTTTTGCCAGGGGCCGCAATATAGGCAGGCCATAAATATGGCCAATTGTCTGAACCCGGTTTCTGGGACCTCTCCACGGCAATCCTCATCCACATGGTGGCACTTTGTGTCATCGGGTGTTTATCGCTTGTGTGATGTCCTGGTGGGGTAGAAATTCATTCATGCATTTCTTTTCACCAAAAATGTGGCCCTGGAGCCCACACTAGGATTTGATTATTTGATTGTGCTGATCCCAGGCATTTTATGTAGTTAAATATTTTTTTTTTTAATCACTGATGTAAATGTTGAAGTGTAACTATTGATTAAAAGTGAGGATTGCACAGTGAAGATTCAGTCTTGTCTGAATTCACTTGTCATGTCAGACCTTTAAATAAACAGAGGGGGAAACCATTTGAGGCCATTAAATATTATGAATTAATCAAGTAACAGAAAGCATTGTGAACGGCACTCATGTCAGAGTATGTAGTCATAAATGGGTTTGAAGCTTTTGATCATGCCATTCCAGATTTGTGATTTGATTATAAATACATCAGTCATCCTCATGTGGGATGCAATTTTTGTTTGTATTTGAAGTCCCACCCTGGCTTTTGCCAGGGACCCGGAATATAGCCGGGCTAAAAAATATGGCCTAACGGCTGAAAAAGGTTTCTGGGAGCTCCCCACGGGTGATCCTCATCCACATGGTAGCAATTTGTGTCACTGGGTGTTTATCGCTTGTGTGATGTCCTGGTGGGGTACAACAAGAGAAAGAAAGAGAGAGAGAGAGAGATCTGACCATAAATGTACTTTTTGAACAGGGCTTATTTCCAGTAACAAAACAAACAGAAACACACAAAAATGCCACTGTTTATCACCAGGTGTTTATAAAAGGTGCCGGTACTCTTCACCAGGTGTTTATAAAAGGTGCCGGTACTCTTCACCAGGTGTTTATAAAAGGTGCTGGTACTCCAGAGTGTTTATTACAGTAGCACCGAAGAAACTGAGGCCTAAAAATTAAACAAAACAAAATAATCTGGGACAGCATACTATCAGAAGAAAAAAAACGCCACGTTCTTCCCCTGCTGCGCTTGATCAACTCTCGGACAAGGAGTTATCTGTGGTCTCTGCCTTTGATTGACAATTAGGGCTATACTGTTAAGTGCGCGGATCCATAAGTAAAGTAAAGGACATTTTTCACCTCAGTTTGGTATTGGGGCTAGACCAGTCAGCATGTATTGTGGTCAATAAAAATGTTGTCCACCTTTACTTCCCATGACATTTCCTGATACCTATTTTAGGCTGTCGGTGTTGGAGCTCAGAGGTTTTTAAATCTGCCTGGTGCTGGTTTTAATTCAAGATCCTTGAGCCAACAGGCATGTGTGAAGTGACTACGCTGTGACGACTTTCACTCAGGCCAAGTAGCGTCCATTTCTTCTATTGGATTCTGCATCACCGCACTTTTGTGTATTATATGTTTTCTTTTACTAAAAGGTGGTGCAGAGCTGAGGTGGTATTGGCATTTATCATATTTGAGTTACAGCCTTGCCTTTTGAGATTTGAACATCGGGGCACACAGATGGTAACCCATAAGTGCTTCATTCTTCTAACTGAAGTCTTAAGTCCAAAAAAGCTCTGCACAGGCTCTGTAGCACCGGTGAGGTTCCTGAAATACTTTTTAGTAGATTTTTAACTTTTAAATTTGTTGCCCTTTACTCTTTTCAATTTCCAACTGCCAAGGGATTTTGTTTATGTGCGCAACAATACACACGGGCGTCCAATCTCACTAGAAGTCTGAGTGAAAAAATCCCAGTCCTTGCAAGGAACTGAACCTGGAACCTGTAGCACTCGAGGTGGACACCATGCCTCGAGACCATGCAGCCCCCTCTTTGCCCGATGAAGGCTGTCTAGCTACAACTTTCCCTTATTGTGTGAGATTATGATAATGTCAAGCTGATTTCTTTTCATCAGATAATCCAGCACCTTTGAAGACTAGAGGCTCTTGATGTCACTGTTTCTTTTGAGTAGGGGGACTTATCATTACTGATATCTTTCATTCCCATGAGTTCTTTCTATTTCTTTTTTAAATTGTATTTCTCTCATCTGCCCCTTTTTTTTCCATCTGTATCTCACCCTTTTTGTCTTTCTTCCACTCACTTTAAATGGCGGTATCTCTTAATTTCTCTTTCTCCATCTTTTTCTCTCAGTGTGAAGTATCAGGCCTTTATACATATTATGCTGTGGCATGTCATGGTTAAATGACCTACCTCCCTTACTCACAGATGATCGCGGAAAATGCCTGCCCGTTTATGAAAATGAGCAAGTATCTATGAGACTTAAACTACCCCAAGGTATGTCATCATCATCATGTAGCAGGTCCTTTGCAGAACGTCGCTCTCATCACAGTTTGCCTGTAAGAAACTCGGTCTCTCGCCAGTTCTCCCGCCTCATGCACTTTCACATACAAGGAGTCACCTATATCCTGTGCCCATCTTCGTGTCGGTCGGCTCCTGCCCCTCCTTCCTGGTACCATGCCTTCTGCTATAGAAAAAAATTTCCTGCAACTACTGGAGAATGTATCAGCACCTCTACTGATACAACAGAATGAAAACATTAAGATGCAGTGGAAAGGCAAAAAGATCATGGATAGATGGAGTTAACAACTTGCCTAAACTCAGCAACATCACCATGCAGCAAGCTAACGAGCACACAATATCCCAGAAACCGATCTTAGCTGTGCCTGCGATGCCCAACAGCAGAAGCAGAGAAAGACAGTAGATAGAATAGGAAATATTAAATAAAGCCATCTCCTACTTCTCGATACTGGGATACACCGATCTCAACCTTTTATCACAGGTTGCAGGTATAGTGGTCATTAGCGAACATCACAGGTTGCAGGTATAGTGGTCATTAGCGAACTTGATCTCAGGTTGCAGGTATAGTGGTCATTAGCGAACTTGATCTCAGGTTGCAGGTATAGTGGTCATTAGCGAACTTCATCACAGGTTGCAGGTATAGTGGTCATTAGCGAACTTCATCACAGGTTGCAGGTACAGTGG